AATACAAATAAATTTACAACGCCATGGCAACGGCAAAACATTGAAATTGTCTAGAAATGATACAAATACTTGCCTTGAAACTCCAGACACGACTCCCAATGCCAGGTTGAGATACTTGTCTTCATACGAAGACATTCCATCATTACTAGCACTATCAGTTTGCAAAATAAAGCCAAAAACGTCTTCAGAATGCGATTCAAACAAAACTACAACACAATACATTTCAACGCTCGTGCGTTCCCGTGCGCGATAATCAGGAAAATTGCTCTAAAAGATTTGTTTTTCTGCCTAAGCCAATCAAAATCCGTATCTAGGGTAAACAAACACCCCGGAAGTGATTCCTGCAGTCTTTTACCAGGAAACTGTAATGCTTTACCAAGAATTTGGCGTCCGAAGTTGGCCGAACACTTTCCGATCACGAGAATTGCCATAATAGGCTTAGATTATTTCGCAATTTCCCGAGACTGCTCCGAGCTATAGAATGGAAGATGGCGATTCTTTTGGTATATTTGTTATTATTATACGTTGAAAAGAAGCAAAAAGACGAGCATTTGAATCAGGCGGAACATTCAAAATGCAACAGCAAAATTGATAATGTGTCATTTGCATAAATTTCACCGCATTGATCATTTCAAGGTAAGAAATTCGCTTGAAATTGAGCGAGAAACAATAAAATTATATGAATATTTCTGAATATATAGTATCGATCAAGCGGAATTTTTTGGTGGTATTTTCGTATGTCTACTGCAAATACTCGCGAAGTTCTTTAATATTTAATCTTCCCGTCATATACGTCGGAAATTAATATTGGCGGATCGAATTGAGTTAAGCAAAATCATATGAAACCTAATATTACGAAAACTAAACATTTGCTCATTGGCACTCACCAGAAGTTGCGACATGCAAATATATCTTCTTTGGAACTTAACCTAAATGGAGTACCTATTGAAGAAGTTAAAAACGAAAAACTCTTGGGTGTAAAATTAGACAAATATCTTAGTTGGAATGATCAAGTTAACTGTTTAATGAAAAAATTGAACTCGCGATTTTTCCTATTGAAGAGAGCCAAAGGTTATCTGTCTATTTCTGGTAGAAAGATGTTGTATAATGCATTGATTAAATCAACACTGGAATATTGTTGCACAGTTTGGGGCAATTGCTCAAACGAACAACTATTAAGACTTTTAGGATTACAAAAGCGTTGTGCCAGCTTAATCCTTGATGCGAATCCATCTGATAATTCAGTACCATTATTTAATACATTAAAGTGGATTCCCATAGATGACACTATTCGTGTACATAAATTGTGCATGATGTATAAAATAATCAATAAAATGTGTCCACAGTATTTTGATAACTATGTAAGTTATGTTAAGAATCGGCATGAATATTGTACTAGAGCATCTTCTAATATGAAATTAGTTGTACCGAAATGCCATACAAGATCTGGACTTCATTGTTTTCATGCTAGTGCTGTTCGTCTCTGGAATGAACTTAATGTGGATAGTATGAATATTAGTGGGTTAGGAAAATTTAAAAAACACTTAGTTAATAAAACACTTTTAGTAAATGAAAGTTGTGATCATTTTCTGGTCACACAGACATTGTAATTGAAATATGTAGATATTGTAATTTAAACCATATATATTTTTGGACCACAATGTAAAATACTGGTTTACCAGTAATTTGTGTAATCCTGTAATAAAGTTCATAAAGTTCATAAATTAATATTGGCGGATGGAATTGAGTTGATAAGTAATGGCATAGTTTCTCGTAAAATTAAGTTTTAATTTCACTTGTGTTTTCAAAGTTTCACAAATTGCCCTTCTCACTATGTGAAATTAAACCTTAATTTCACTCGGGCCCCATGCAAATACCTATACAAATTTCCTTTCTGGCTGCAAAATCATATGCCCATTCCTTCTCAAAAGACACACAGACACCTTCAGGGCAAATTACATGGACATTTTCAGCCCGGGCTGAAATTCTTTTACAATTTCTTGGCAAGTTTCAGCCTGGGCTGAGTTTAAAATTTTGGTTATTGTTCCATGTTTCGCACACCAATATAGGTTAGGGTTAAGGTATTAGGGGTTAGGTTGTGAATATATGCATATGGAGGTATCCAGTTAACTTTTCAGTACACTATAATATCCATTACATAACATTTACTATATTGGTGCGCAAAACATGTAGTGATTACCAAATTTTTGTCAGAGCTAATTAAACTGGGCAGAAATTTCAGCCTGGGCTAGACTGTAAGTCTTGAAACAGACCTATTCCTGGCTATTTCAATGGTGTAAAATACTGCTTTAGTGCTTTTATCTACTATTTGACTTGCATGAGACAATCTGGTCATAGAATAAAGATCCATATGGAAGGGGAAACTTATTTTGGAAGCTTTGAAGTTTCTGTCCTCGCGCATGTCACATTACACATGCTGGCCACCATTTTCCTAGCGAATCAATGACATTTTCTGGCCAATAAACATGCTGTACTGGCTGGCTGCTCCGCCTTCTGGCCAGTAAACTGCATATTTTTGCATAAAAAAACGAGGACATGTTGCACTGCTGAGTGGCCCTTCTGTTTCTGATCTTTATTCTGTGGTCTGGTTGCATTTGGAGACTGAAAATATATAAATACAGCCTATTAAACAATTTTTTTTCAACTCTGGCTGAAATTCCTTTCTGAAATTCAGCACGGGAAGTACAAACCAGGCTGAAATTCGTCTCATGCATGAGAAGAATGTATTAATTAGGCAAAGTATTTTATTGGATTTTATAATAAAGCTGGGTTAAAATTTCTGTGCCACTAACCAGGATGGAAGTCAGCTTGAGCTGAAATCGATCCATGTAATCAGCTTAGAATCCCCCAATAGATCAACAATTTTCACTAATATATAAGCAGCCTGTTTTTGAAAATCGTCATCCCGCTGATGATTCTTAACTGACGAAACAGACTGTTGTGGAATTTTGAGGTAAGCAAATATATATATATATATATATGTATATATAACAAAAACACAACAACCTTGAGTTTTATATTAGATGTTAGAATATACTTAAGTTCGCTAGTGCTGAGGAATTCCGTATGCATTCCAGTGCCCATATTGGAAGGTCACTTGCAAGTATTTTACAAGTTTCTGTTCCGCTTGTGACTGCTGACACAACAACTTGGGATGGAAGTCAGCTTGAGCTGAAATCGATCCATGTAATCAGCTTAGAATCCCCCAATAGATCAACAATTTTCACAAATATAAGCAGCCTGTTTTTGAAAATCGTCATCCCGCTGATGATTCTTAACTGACGAAACAGACTGTTGTGGAATTTTGAGGTAAGCAAATATATATATATATATATATGTATATATAACAAAAACACAACAACCTTGAGTTTTATATTAGATGTTAGAATATACTTAAGTTCGCTAGTGCTGAGGAATTCCGTATGCATTCCAGTGCCCATATTGGAAGGTCACTTGCAAGTATTTTACAAGTTTCTGTTCCGCTTGTGACTGCTGACACAACAACTTCTGTGCATTCTTGCTGTTCTCCTTTCACAGTTTCTGTATGAGATCTTTTTAGCAGCTGTTCTTCTGGATTACTACATCGTCTATATTCTGCCAATTAAATACAAATCTGGCCTTCCAAATATAAAAAAACATTCATAGTTATAACGATTCCAGTTGAAGAAGGCAGCACTTCATGCCCAAAATAATGGTACGTCCAGGGTAATTTCCCTCTCCACGGGTATGTTTAGATTTGGGCGAAGTCTCCGCAAGATTTTTGAATGAATCTTCTTTAACAATTGTGCAACGATTGGCCATGTGTTGTTAACAAAACGCTTGGCTGCGGTGTAGAAATTACTGCGATCGTACTTTTCATCAAGGCGCTGAAAATAACTGCTGATAGTCTTTCACTCATCTGTGTTGCTGGCTTTGCATAAAAAATCTAATTTTTGAATTCTTGAATTTTAAATATTACCCATTGTACGTCGGGCACCCAATTAGCCTTTTTGCAGGCAGTTGGCCCCACCGTGGAGAAGAGGAAGAGATTAAAACAAGAGCTGAAAGACACACAACAACTTTCCGGTCAAGGCAATTGTTTGGGGATTTGGACTAATGAAGTAAATCACAGGGGCCAGTTGTTAGAAGGTCAGATAGCACTATCCACCGGCTAGTGATTTTTTTCATGCTTTGTTAAATCAGTCTTTGATTTGTATAACTTGTATTAAAGTTCTTGTGTGTTGTCTATATCCATAGTTTCACAATTATTCAAGCATTTTTACAAAGGTTGAAAAGTGACTATCTGGTGGATAACCCTATCCGACCTTTGTGCAACCGGCCCCAGAACATCAATATTAAAATTGCTTGTTGATCAATTATAAATGTAGAATGTTCTGTGAGACAAACTCGAACAGTCAAAACAGACTACTACACTTGTTTAGAAGAACTACAATATCCCAAATTGTCCCAAAATAAATTTCAAGCAAGATATCAATCACTCCAACCTTTGTATAAATATAATACCATTATTTTCGTTGAAATTGAATCTTAAAGGTGATGTAAAGTCTGTAATGTAAACAAAAGCTTTGTTTACATTTTTTTAACTTAGTGCTACAGTTGTAGAATACAGGGTTGGTAGGCTTTTGTGCATGTTCAAAGCCAAATGACCTTTTAAAAAAGGCCAAATTCTACTAAATTAGGCCAAATTTTATTTTTTGAAAAAAGCCAAAAAAAAGCCAAATCCATCAATATTTTTTACTTACATTGGCAGGTTATCTCCAGGGTTATATAAGTGCAGTATGTCCATAGGTGAACAAATTTAAATGATACAAAATAATGTTGGCTGCAAGCGTGCAGCAAATTTTAAACTATATTTAAAATGTTTCCAACTTATACATAAGATGAAACACAGTTTTCAAAAATGACTCCTTATGAAAAACGTGTTCAGCCTACTAAATAGTAAATAGAAGTCAAATAACAAGCAATAACAATCGCATATATCATTCGTCATCTTGTTCACGTTCGCTTTCATTGCCGTACATCTTTTTGCAAGTAAACAACTCGAGCATGCGCTTCGTTACCTGAAAACTTATACAGCAGTTTTCGCTGAATTGCAGTTGACTGCGAATTCTGGTAATTGCATTTAGCAGTTCTAGTCCCATGCGATTTCGTACTTTGGTCGTTACTGACGACACCAAAGAGAATGTTCTCTCCACCACCGCATTACTAACAGGATTCGTCAGGCAGTTCAGTATGTAGGTAGCCAACTCCTCAAAAGGTTTGTGACCCAAAGAACTTTGGAAATTGACGATACAATACCAAAATTGGACGGTGCTGTTGGGTATGGTGCCGTCAAAAATAGGTTCTTCTTTCCATGGACGGTGTAGGATTTTCCTGTACTGCTCTTCTATTACGTTTGCATTCTCTTGACGTAGATGGGGAAGTGGGAGCTGGTTGTAAGGAACTCTCTGTGAAGCATCCAAAACTTTATTTGGATGTAAGGCACTCGGGTTTTTGAACAGGTTGCATGTAGCAGGAAGTCGTTTGTCCACCTGAGTTACGGCTTCAAGAAGGAATTCAAGGCATCGTTTCTTTATCTCAAGGATTTTAGCTTCAGCAGTCAATTTGTCCGGTTGGGCAGAAATGCACTTTGCAGCCTCACACTCGAACTTGCCTCCAAAATCAACTTTCGTAATGGCCAGGGGTCTTCCTTGTCCATCGAAAACTCTTCCATGCAGACTGTTGCCATGTGCCAACAGCTCTTTGTGCATGTCTTCAGGATCAGCTTCAGTGGCCTGAAAGAAGGTGTTAACCCTTTCGAACTCTGTAACAAGGGGTGAAGCAAAATGAAAGTACAGCAATATGGTTGGATCTTTCAGCATGTCCAGAAGAAGACATGCTTTATACCGTGCACTTTGGGTGCTTGCTGGCAGTGCAACCATGAAATAGGCTTTTAATTCCTCCCAATTCATGAGGATCTTAAAAATAACTTTTCCCCTAACCAGCCATCTTGTCTTCGGATACTTTTCAAAAGGGGGCGTTTGGTCATCGTCGGGACTCATCAACTCATAAGTGTCTTGTAAGCCTCTCTGCGAATGGTGCTTTTCGAAAACCATTTGGGGATCTCGGCCAGAAGGAACCCAAGACTCGAGGGAAGCTTCTCAAAAGCATGCTGTACACACAAGGCCAACGAATGGCAAATGTATGTCATTTTGATGCAGTTTGGAGCAACAGCCAATATTCTCGTCCAAACTGAATCATGCTCACAGACCATAACTGAAGCACCGTCACTACCATATCCGACACAGTCCTCCAGTTTTAGATCTATTCCAGCGATGCATTCTTTGATGGCATTAAAAATATCGTCTGCACAAGCATGCACAAGAGAAACCAGATCAACAAACGCAGTAAGGATCGTTTCTTTGGCTTGTCTGTAATATTGGATTAAGACACACAGTTGTTTGGTAGTGGAAACGTCCGTAGTTTCATCCACAATAAGCGAAAATTTCCTCCCTTTCACATCAGCAATTAACTCCTCCTTAAGCGCTGGGGCCACAACATTCGTCAGGATTTTAGTGCACTTCCGTCTATGTAGCTTCAAGTCTTCAAGTTTACTCCCTGTGGCATTACGGGAAATAACCTTTCCGAGATGATCGATCGTTAAAAAGGCAGAATGACAAGCAATTGAGACTACTAACTCGATCTTGGTTGTCTTTAATGCATCAGAAGCTCTTGGGGTACGTACGACCTGAATAGGTTTCATTGTTGTTGAAAGCTTGACACGTTGCATGTGCTTTGTACTCTTTTCATGATTCGTCAAGTTCGAGGTTTTAGGCTTAATTGTAACATGACACAGCTTACAGAAAGCATTTTCAGTGCCGTCTGAAGCTTTTAGAAACCCAGAAAAATTTACTTTCCCACGCTTTACTGTATTTTCTTCCACTATCATACGTCCCTTTCCATTTTGATGCCATTCAATGACTTCATTTTCTTTTTTCGCAATAGTATTGTAGTATTACAAGCAGAAACAACACAAAAATAACTTTTAATTTTAAGGTAATTTTCCATTTTTATGCAAAATAGTAGACGAGGTGGACCTCTGCAAACAAAATAGCTGCAATGTTGTCATTGGTTAGTTTTTTAGCTTTACGATTGGCCGAATTTCCTCAGATCTGATTTGGGTGTCAATAGTATCAGGTTGTCCTCTGTCCGCGGTACACAATTCTTACGTTCTTACATGTTTCCTTATATTTTAAAGTTTTTTTCATAGCAAATTATACTAAAAAACCCTGAAAATTCCTGTAACTTAATAAAAAAGCCAAAATAAAGCCAAAAGGCCAAACATTTTTTTCAAGGCCAAACAAGAAATAAAAAAGCCAAAATCGAGTTATTTGGCCGCAAAAAGGCCAAGTTACCAACCCTGGTAGAATATGATTAGATATATATTGAATTTTTAACACTCTTCTGGTTTGCTATGCTTGTAAATTAATTCAGACAAGAAATTCAATTCAAGAAAGTTTGAAAGCTTCAAAATAGTAACAACATTCCAATGGTCGAGTTCTGACTATTAGAATGTAGGCCTGCACAAGGACGTATGCACAGAATGGACTCTACATCATCTTTAAAAATTCAATATATATCTAACCATATTCTTCTTTTTGCGGCCAAATAACTCGATTTTGGCTTTTTTATTTCTTGTTCGGCCTTGAAAAAAATGTTTGGCCTTTTGGCTTTATTTTGTTTTTTTTATAAGTTACAGGAATTTTCAGTTTTTTTTAGTATAATTTGCTATGAAAAAACCGTTAAACTATAAAGCAACATGTAAGAACGTAAGAATTGTGTACTGCAGACAGAGGATAACCTGATGCTATTGACACCCAATCAGATCTGAGGAAATTTGGCCAATCGTAAAGCTAAAAACTAACCAATGACAACATTGTAGCTATTTTTTTCTTTAACATACCCGAATTTGTGCTAGATTTAGCAAAGAAGACTGAATAGAATGTACAATACTGCGAGATTGATGTGTCTAGTTTTGAATCAGTCTATAAGAAGCAGGTAAATATAATAGGGGTGGGTCATCATAATTTCCAAATAGGGGCGGGCCACACAAATTAGGCTTTTAAAAATTTAACCAGTCCCTAAGGGTGAAATTGTACAAGTGTAACCATTTATACCTGTGTCCATTTATTGAAGTCAGCTTTAACTTTTTTCTCTGTTGTATTAATTACATTGTAGTATTGTACCATTGGCCAGCCATTGGGTTTGCACATTTATTATAATATAGCTGATGTAATAAGTATATTTAGTAGTATTTATGCTTGTCAACTATTTTCCTAAACATTCTGCTGTTTCTGCCTCGCTGTTTGTATGCAATATTTCTAGGCTAGCTTTTTGGGGCTAACACATGTATGGTGGCCCAGGACTGCCATAAAATTTAACTGTTAAAATTTTTAATTAAAAATATTTAAATAAAATTAAAATAAAATAATATACTTACATGGCCCAGAACTGCCATAACATTTTTTTTTAATACTAATATTATTTTTCACATTGGCTTAGAGCTGCCATAGACCAGCATATCTTGCAACGCGACTAACCAGTTAAAATTCCTAACACCAAGTATTACGCCCATTGTCGCTTGTTCAGTTCAAAATGGCGGACAGGATTCAATGCAGATTGGAAAGAAGACGAAAACGTGAAAACGGAACTTGAGAAGCATGTAAGGAGCAACTTACGTGTTGACATACTGCATTTCACGAAGCGAGATTTTGGTGAATATGCTTGGAGTTTGAGAACATTGGATCGTCATCTAAAACACTTTGACATCTGCTGGATTAACAAAAGTGTTAAGGCGGTTTTCCAGTCCTCGCACGAAGCTCCTCGCAGTGCTTGCATCTAATTAAAATTAACTGTTTAGCATTGTGATTGGTTGAAAGTGCTCATGCATGCACTTGCAGCGAGCTGCGAGGAGCTTCGTGCGAGGACTGGAAATCCGCCTTTAGTGTCGAAGAAGTGAGAACAGCTGTATAGAAAGAGATCCACCGTCCTGGCAAACTGTAGGGGGTTCCCCCAAAATTTAGTACATGCCATAATGTTTGATGTAGACCCGGAAGGACTTAAAGGTGGTGACCCAACTGAAAGAAAAAGAAAAGTTAAAGGCAATTTTACAACAGGACACACCAATTTTGTACACTCAATGGTATCAGCATACTGTACATGATAGTTCCGAAAGATAGATATTCATGTCATTATTTATCCAAACAAAACCGCCATCAACCTACAACTGCAAAGGACTGGATGGTGCTGTCATGATTCACTGCCTTCCTACTGCTGCGGCGAGTACCTTCGATGAATATGTGGATAAGGTGTTCATACCTTACCTAGAGAAGCAGCTGCAAGAGTCCAGAAGGTTATATATTGTGTGGGATACATAGATTTCAGATAGTTTGAAGAAGTCTACCAGGGTAAAAAGAGGCAATCGTGTACGCAGGAATGTGTCTGGCCAGACCAGGCTGCCTGGCAATTGGATGGATTTTCTTTCCGACTGAACTAACAGGAAGGAGTTGTTTGGCTTTCTTACCACCAAGGTTGAACAGTTCAACTGTCCAGCATCCACAGCTATGTATGTCACATCAGGACAATCGGTGTTGTCCATTAGTTCTGGTAGTCCAATGCATAGCTGTAACCACAAGGAAGCTGACACCAGAGTTGTGGTACACATATTACATGCACTCGAGCACAGAGAGAAGACTGTCCTAGTGCATACTGTGGACACTGATGTTGTTGTCAACCTCGTTGGAACATTCCACAATCTAGCTGCAGTGCAAACATTGCTCGACATCTGGGTAGCCTTTGGCACAGGCAAGAATTACAGGTTCTACAGCATCAATGCAATTTGTGCCAGTTTGGGGGAACCACGATCATGTACACTACACGTGTTTCACACTTTTTTGGGTTGCGATACTACATGGCAGGCTTTTGAAGATGTTACAGGTACGTTTGTATATCTGGCTTCTCGTCCATTTGAGAAACTGTACCCGGACTCCAAATCCTTCCAGAAGCTAGCGTGTCTAACTGTAATCCTGTATAACAGAACCAGGTCACTGAGCTGAGTTAATGAGACCAGAAAGGAACTCTTCTGGAAACCTCCACCGACTCAAGATGTCCTACTTCAGCACATCCGACAGACAATCTACCAAGCTGGAATTTGGACTACCAGCACACAAGCAGAGCCAGTGGCTCCATGCCCACAGGACTTTGCATGGACCAAGGTTGCAGATTTATGGGTTCCAGTTTGGGTGACCATGCCAGAAGTATCCAAAACATGTAGAGAGCTGATCAAATGCATATGCAAAGGAAACTGTTCTAAATGTAAATGTGTTAAGGCAAATCTAGTAACAATATGGCCGATTTTTCGACATTCATATCGCTGTATCTTCATGAGGAATAGTCGTATTTAGAAACAGAGTGCAGTTTTATGACATCTCAATGTCCTCTACCGAAAATGTCCATAAAATTAACAATAACTAACTGTTAATTTTTTAGTGGCAAGTTTGCCATTTTCCTGCCAAAAATGTAGCAATTCGAAAAACAAAAAACATACGATTTATAAGAGAGACATGTTCTATGTTTATGGGAAATTTTGTACACACAGGATGAAAATTAAAGAAATTTTGTTAGGCATGATTATATTTCTGGTTATATCTCTCACTTTACAACAGACTTTGAACATTCAATATTGTTTTGTCTGTGTCAGATGTGTCGACTTTCAGGTGCAAACCAGTGAACTATAAAGCTACTTTAAAAGGTTTTGTTTAAAGTACAGGTTATGAAAGTCCAATTCTAACTTTTAGTCTTCGCCTCAACTGCATCCAAATATTAGAAATTAAATATTTTTGAAGGAGTGTAATTTTGCCTCCTGGTCATCAATGGTGGCCTTCAAATTGCCTTTAAACATGGCAGCCAGGCTATCATTCCATGTGGTGTTAATTTTGGCTTTGTGTTAATTAAAACGCCAGTTATGTCCTTGCACGCCTGAATTGCCATACTGATTAATTTAATTTATTTCTGTGTGCATACATGTAGATCACTGCAGAAACCAAACAGGTTTTTGGGTTTGAATGTGCCATTGCATGACATTATTTTGCAAGATAGAGATAGTATTCTGTTTATGCAATTGTTCTTGTGAATGGGTTATTGAGATTAGCTTTACTACACAGTATACATTTTACCAGCATATTTAAAGATATACATTCTACCAGGATAAGACTATATCTGCAAGCAATAAAATTTTTAAAAATAGGCACTCAAGGAGTGCAAAAGGATTTGCAATTTTGTTGTCAATTTTATAATGCAAGAATGATGGAAAAATATTGCCCAAAATGTAGTATGACAAACCACAACATCATGCATGACAAATCTTTTCTTCAAATGTCAACTTTTGTTTAATTACTTTTATATTTAAAGTTAATCTACAACAACTTGTAAATGGCTTTATCATTGGCCCAAAGATAAAAGAAAAACTGAATTTGTAGAAATGTTGAAAATATTTTATAATTTAACATTTGGACACAGAAGATAAAAAACAACAAAATTATTTCGAAGTTTCCACATTCCCCAACAGGCAATTACATTTCTAATTTATTTCCAATGAATACGAATGAAAAATGGAACAATACAGTTTTCATAGTGGAAACACCACTTTTGATTTTATTTTATATGGCCGCTCCTGAGTTGAACAAATTTGTCTTTTAGGACCTTTTCCATTTGTATTTCTAGCACAAAACAGCCATATATTCATTCGTTTAGCTGAAAGTAAGTGTTACAATATTTAGTTGTTGGTGTATTCTACGAAAATGAGCAGGGTTTTGCCCGAAAGACTGCGAATATTGACAAACACAAATGGCGGATAATAGATTCCGGTGGTTCATGAATACTCGACTTGGAACTCAATGTCACAAATGTGTTGTTACCTACTATCTACAATCTTGGCCATAAACCGTCGGACGACGATAAATTTTTGTGCATTTTTAAGACCTCCCCCCTTCCCCCCCCATTCAATGTTGCCGTTTCGTGTATATTTATTATCTGACATACTGTACAGACAAAATTGTACGTGTACTAGAAATATGGGAAAGCAACATTGAATGGGGGGAGTGGTGGGAGGTGCAAAATGATTTTAAAACCCAAGTATACTAGAAATACATGCATGCAACAACCCCTCGCCTATATTTTCCAAACATTGTTTCAACATGAAGTATTCGTAATAACTCCAACACTGAACTACACTGAACACGGGCCACGTCATGTTAGTCATGGCAATACAATATTGTTTTTTACATTTTTTGAAATTTGAACACTTTTAAATACAGAACTATCAATTTCTAAAATATATAAAGTAGGTATAATATTTTGGTTTCTATGGGCTTTATTTTAATGTAAAATTCAAAACGAAACTCCCATGTAAAACGTTTTTAAATGTGAATTGAAATTAACTGCTTTTTGCCGATATTTAAAACTTCTCAACTCGAGCTGCAACTTATTATTCACACTCTGAAATGACACAAATCGAATTCGTACAGGACGCTAATGAAAATAATTTGCTATCCTTTTTATCATGAACTTCTACAAAAGTTAATTTAACTAAGAAACTTTCGCAAACAATGCATAGGAAAGACTTGAACATCAAGAACAATGTCTATATTATTAAATACAAAGCCATACATAAACAATTGAAACAAACTTGCCCTATACTTTAGGATTTATCATACAATATCAATTCTTATCAATGTTTACGTTTAAAAATTGCAAAAAAGTGGTACAATTTGTTATGTGAAACGATTTTCCAAGCTTTCTTACATGTATTTTTAAATATTTTTTGCCTTCTTCACTCCTGGCAAACAGCCATATTCTGAGATCAGTGATGACCACCCACTCAACATCGTTGGTGAGCGCCCGTGATAATTGATGAATTTTAGACTCCGCTAATGCTTTCGTTTCTGGGGGAATTAGTACCCTCACACGGCGCTTTGCGCCGTCAGCTTGGGGTTTAAAAAGTTGCAAATTTGTTTTGTCGTCCTACGAACTTTTGGCCAAGATTCAATCTTGGCCATAAACCGTAGGACAACAATAAATTTTTGTGCATTTTTAAGACCTCCCCCTTCAATATTGCCGTTTCGTGTATATTTATGATCTGACATACTGTACAGACAAAATTGTATGTGTACTAGAAATATGGAATATCAACATTGAATGGGGGGAGCGTGAGGAGGTGCAAAATGATTTTAAAACCCAAGTATATTAAAAAGTTGCGAATTTGTTTTGTCATTCTACAAACTTTTGGCCAAGATTATCTGAAAATTGCTACATGTCCATTTCTACGAAAAATGCATTTAGGGGCTGTTTATATGGTCCCGCTTACCCGGGATTCAATGAAGTGTGACGTATTTTGAGCAATTGAAATACGTGTTTCAGCCCTAAACAAAAGTTAAATATTGTGTAAACGAAATTAGGAACACGCTAGAAGTTATGTAATGGAAGAAGACGATTAATAGCATTCAACAACATTTGTTTTTTGTCTAAAACATAGAATTTCATACAATTTGTAACAAGCAATTTTGTTAGATCATAAAGTAAGACTTATTTCAATTGCTCAAAATACGTCACACTTCATTGAATCCCGGGTAAGCGGGACCATATAAATAGCCCCTTAACCTTGTACAAGATACTTGTGCTAATTTATTCTGCATGATTGGTATATGTGTTGCCGCATATTATTTACATCTTTAGTTAAGGTCGCTGTGCTAAGCTGCTCAAGTTCTATTTGCTTTCTTATATATAAGACAATCACAGTCTTCGTCTGGTAGGAGTTGCACAATCAAAGTTCAATTGCTTTAATTTTGTATAAGACCATACTCCTATGAAATATCCGTTTTTAAATATATTATACACTTAATGTCTGCACCCGAGGGAAATAGTTTTGTTTAAATTTTGGGATAGGTAATAGGACCTCTACATGCGTCTTGGACCTGTGGTGTACTTAAAATCATTATTTATCTAATGGATTACTGTTATTTTCAACGGGGTCTTGAAAGTAGACCATGCTGTGAAACATTGTATAAAAGGTACACGCTTTGTTTTGTGTCTCTTTTTGTCATTCCATTGCAGAAATATCGTGATTGAAGTTAGCATGTGCTGTATGTAAAGTTATTACTTGGTAATTGATAGGTGTAATTTGATGATGCACATGAATTTATCGATATCACAGGGTCGGATTTGACCATACTGCGATGTTGTAAATTAGGAATTGGTAACATGACTTGTGATTTTGCGCTGTGTAATTTTCCTGTATCTCATTTGAGTAAAAGGTTTTCTTAAATATATCTTCACAGGGTCTGGAAAGTAGACCATGCAGTGAGATATTGTGAGCTTAATCCGTGTTGTTAACTGTGTATTCCATAATCTGTCCGTCACATGTGGTTAAGTCTATGTGAGGATTGTAGGTTTATCCCTTAGTATTGAAGTATGGATGCAGTTAGATTATGCACATACTCACAGGGTCTTGAAAGCAAACCATGGCGTGAGATATGCATGTCATGAGTCCTATGGTTTGTGTCATGTATCTAACTATTGATAGGTAGAATAAGTAGTTGTTGTACAATCTACAAAAATGCGGTTTATAGAATCTGGCAGAACATTTAATTATGCCACAAGGGTAAACTTTATTTAAAATTGGTGTCTTAGACTAATCATCCCAGATGTTTTGTAAAATGGCGCCCAGGGTCTGGCAAACATTTTTATGACTGCACAGTATGGCAGTCATTACGTAGTATGTACCATATAGGTTAATACCTTTAAGTAATATATATAATATATAATAGGGACTGATTGCCCAAAGCAGTCCGAGCCAGTTCCGCGTTTCAACGTGGTGTGAATAGGTGATATATTCGGTCAATATCATTAAAAATGACTGTAGAGAAAGGCGAACATGGGTC